GTTGCCAGCCTCATTCGCTCGGCCAAGCAGAGATGACGACGCCCGTCGTCAAGTCAACCGTGTCTAGCCGATGTGTTGTCTGTGTGTCGTCCGGATGATGTGCAGCCGCCTGTGTATGTACTGGCTGCTGGTCAGGTCGACGGCGGTCCACTTGTTGTTGGTAGTCGTGGCGTTGCCATCACGACTCGTCGCGGAGGAGATGATCCCCACGACGGCTAGTTTGATTGTCCTCGAGCACCGACTCGTCGAGGAGCGTCCGCTCGGGCAGGTGGTGCTGCGGTTGGCCGATGAGTTGTCGCGGTTGAGTGGCGCATCCTTGCGGTACCATCAGTTTCATCTGCTGCCGATGCAGGACGCTGGACTGTTCCGCGTCACGCCCGACGGTCGACTGGTGACGGTGCAGCGAGTGGATCGCGAATCGATCTGCGGCGCGGCCGGCCGTCTCGAGGTCGAGTCGCGGCGGGTGACGATGACGACGACGACGACAACGACGGCGTCGAGTCGTCGCGTCTGTCTGCTGCAATTGCAGGCGACCGCGCTCGAATACCCGCTCGAGGCGGCCGGGCCCCGCCGTCTCCGGCAGCTGCTCGTGCAACTGCGTCTCGTCGACGTCAACGACAACCCGCCCATCTGCCAAGTGGTCGCTGGCGCCGGATCCGCCGGTCAGCTCGACGTGCCCGAAGATGCGCCCGTCGACTCGCTGGTGGCTCGAGTCCGCCTCACCGACGCCGATTCGCGCCACCACGGCATCCTCGGCGCCAGCCTGCTTGGCCCGGCCGTCGGCGATGCCGACCTGCTGCCCTTCCGCGCCCAGTTCGACCTCGCCTCCGCCGCCTCGGCGAGCCCAATGGCGACGACGACCCACGCCGACCGCGGGCCCTGGTCCAGCGTCGACGTCGTCCTCCGGCTCATCCGTCGCCTCGACTACGACCGGCTTCAGCCCGAGTTCGCGCTGCGACTCGTCGTCTGGGACTCGGGCCGGCCGGACGGCGCCAACGTCGCTGAAGCCGACGATGACAGCAACGGCGACGGCGACGGCGACGGCGAGGATACGGTCATCGGAGCTCGACTGACGACCACGTGCAGTCTGCAGATCCGCGTGCGCGACGTCAACGACCACAGTCCGGTGTGGACGGCGCCGCGCGCGATAGCGGCCGGACTCGGTCTGACGTTGGCGGTGTTCGAGGGCGAGTTGGAGGGCCGGCGCGAGCTGGTCTGTCTGGAGGCGCGCGACGCCGACGTCGGCGCCAACGCGAAACTGCGCTACGAACTGGTGGAGGAGACGGGCGAGCCGGTCAACTCGGTCAGTCCGCGGCCCGAGCTCGACCTCTTCCAGCTGCAGCCGGACTCGGGCTGCCTGCAACTGCGCACTTTGCCCGTCGACTTCGAGGCTGTGGCGGCGCGCTTTCCGCGCCTCATCGATCGAGCCCCTCGGCCCGGCTGGCTGCCGGTCCGACTGAACGTGCGCGCCGTCGACCAGCCGCAGACGCCGGGCGAGGCGGCTCGTTCGAGCCCCGTCGCCCGACTCACCGTCTGGCTGGTCGATGTCAACGACAACGAGCCGCAGGTCCAGATCATCGGCCTGCAGCCCGCCTCGCCGGGCGCAGTCGACGTCGTTGCGGACCGGCGACACACGCACGACGTCGTGGTGGCCGAGAACCTGCCGGCCGGAGAGCCGGTCGCGGCCATCTTTACGCACGACGCCGACGCCGACGCCGGCACGGCCGGACAGGGCCGGGTGACGTGTCGGCTGGAGGAGACGGGCCAGTTCGAGTCCGGCACCGGCGAGTCGGCGTTTCGGCTGGTCGAGGTGGCGGGCGCGGCCAGCGGCCTGACCTACCAGTTGGTGACGCGGCGGCCGCTGGACCACGAGGCGGCCGCGGTGCATCTGCTGCGGCTGGCCTGCGCCGACGGCCCGGCGCCGGCGGGACTCGAGCTCGAGGAGGAGGGCGTGCTGCGCTTCGGCCGGCCGCGCTTCGACCAGCTCACCACGCATCGGCTCATCCGCGTCCTCGTCGCCGACGTCAACGACAATCCGCCGCGCATCCTTGCTCCGCTGCAGCCGCACTCGTCCGCGAGTCCCGCCGGTCCGGACGAGCCGGACGCCGCGACCGACAGTCTCGCCTGCTCCGTTGCCGAGCACTCGAGCGTGGGCACGCGCATCTGCCAGCTGCGCGCCTGGGACGCCGACTCGGGCGGCAACCGACGTCTCGAATGGTGGCTCGACGAGTCGGCCTCGCGCGGATGGCTCGCTCTGCACCCGCAAACCGGCTGGCTCACGGTCGCCCCGGCCGGCCTGCCCACGCCCCAGAAGCCGGCGGGACTCGACCGCGAGCACATCGACGAACTCCACTTCACCGTCTTCGTCCGCGACGGCCTCGACACCGCCGCCACCGCCGCCACCGCCGCCGCCGCCGCCACGTCACGGCTCACCGCCAGTGCCTCGCTCGTCCTCACCGTCGTCGACATCAACGACCAGCCGCCGCGAATGCCCGACATGCACTACTTCGCCGTGCTCGAGAGCGCCGCGCCCGGCACCACCGTCGGCCAAATTCGCGCCACAGACGCCGATCTGCCCGGCAGCCGGAACGCCCAAATCGCCTACCGGACGCTGGCAATACAACCGGCCAAACTGGCCGACCTCAACGACCAGACGAACGCCGCGCCGATTGACGCCGGCGACGAGCGCCGCCGGAGGCAGCAACAACTGCTGCGTCAGCACAGGTTTGTGCGCAAACAGACCGGCCTCATCAGTGAATTCGAGGTGAGCCAACCACTTCCCGGAATGTCAGTAGCCCTTTGAAACACTTCCCACCTACTCACCATCTGCATGAGTAGTATCGTCAGTTGAGGTGCTGAATTAAAAATTTCAATTTCAACACCATCGCTGCATTTCAGTTGAAAGCTTCTTTTGATGTATCCAAGTGGTCTGACCTCTTTTTCGCAACTTGGTCGTGTTGTCAATGCGACCTAGTAGGACGCACCTTGTCCCAATTCCTCTTCTATGGTAGTTATCATAATTACCCACTTCGGATCATGGACTTGGTACATTTCCAGACTTTTTGCACCAAGTTCCAGACAATTCTTTGCATTGACTTGACTTGTCTCTTTGACGAGTTGCAGCTTGCTACTGAGAGGGGCGAAACGACTTGAAATGTACCAAGTGCACGGTCCAATTGTGGGAAATAGCATGCATGCTGAGGAGATTCGGACGAGGTGCGTCCAACTAGATCGCTTTGACAGCACAATCAAGTTGTGAAAGCGAGGCCAGATCATTTCTATACTGCAAAAATAAACGCTACCGGATAAAGGTCACGCTTACTTGGAATTTAGGAGATTGTTTAAATGAATT